TCTCCTCCAATACACTATTACTTCTTTTTGCCTAGAGGCCTTTCTGTTTACCTTCTATAAACCAAAGATAAACCCAAAGATATGTTTATTGAATTCAAAGAATTCTACTCCTACTTCAGCTTGTTCCATCTTCCCCAAGGAACTTTCCAGAGCAATGCCCCATCTTGTTCCTGCTGTAAAACAATGTTATCAACTCCTCCGGAACCTGGGCTTTTTTCATTTCGGCACCTAATAGTAAACTAATTTTTATCATGTACTTTCCTTATTCTAGGCATTTTAACATGAATATATTAATTTAATCCTTACAAAATCCAGTGAATGAAGTAAAACCACTTTTTTCTTCTATACTTTTATTTATTTATTTATTGGGTGTGTGGGGGGGAGAATGAGCAGGGAGAGGGAGAAGCAGGCTTCCAGCCGAGCAGGAAGCACGATGCAGGGTTCGGGCTTGATCCCAGGGCCCTGGGATCATGACCTGAGCCAAAGGCAAACGCTTAACCGACTGAGCCACCCAGGAGCCCTGAAGTAAACCACTTTTATCTCCCTTTTGTAAAAGAGAAAAGTAAAGTCCTGTGAGTTAGGTAACTTGCCCATAGCTGCAGAGCCAGGACTGATACTCGGGCTACTGGCTCCCAGAGTCTGCAATTTTGGCCTCTTTGCCTAGTACTTCTGGTTTAGTCACCATATTTCCCAGTTGCTCTATAAACACTTGTTAAATAAATAGACGTTGTTTTGAATTCCTGGCACTGCTTTAGATTTCTTAGTATCTCATTATAAACTGCCTTTATGATACACGTTGGCATCCTCCACGGTTATAACTCCAAAGAAGGAATCCGTTTGGGGGCTTCTTTTGAATTGTTCTGGGTACTTAGTGTAATTGCTGGGTCCCTGAACAGATGTTAGAAAATTGCTTGGTCTGACCCTGGAAGTCTCGGCTAGTCTTTATCCATATCTGATCTGTGAGGTTAGATGGCCCATTCTGGGCTCCCCGTTCCCCAGAGGAGAAACTTGAGTCTTAGTCTCTGGAAACTGCTCCTTAAGGGAAGAGTGACTGTTGACAGGGGGGAAATGAATGAAGCACCTTACCCTGGGTCAAATGTTCCTGGGTGCTCCAGGGCCTGTGTCTGCTGTGGGTGGGAATTCGGGAGGGACAGAGACACATTCATAGGATAGCACTCCTAGCTCAACCCTCTTGGCCTGAAACTGATCTCACTCTGGAAGAAACAAATGCAAAGGCTTTTGAGATCCTTTAACACTGTCGGGCTTTCTGCCATACTTTCTGCCAGGCCCACCTTTCAGCATTTAATAGCATTTAAGTACAAATCAATTTAATACAAACAGATTAATGTCATGTAATTTCCAGAAAGGAGAGTGATCATTTCCCTCTCCTCTCCCTCCCCCCACTCTAATTAGGTCAAATCTTGATCACTTAATTTTAGTGTTTCCTTTTTATTTTTTATTTATTTTTTAAAGATTTTATTTATTTATTTGACAGAGAGAGAGATAGCGAGAGCAGGAACACAAGCGGGGGAGTGGGAGAGGGAGAAGCAGGCCTCCTGCCGAGCAGGGAGCCCGATGCGGGGCTCGATCCCAGGACGCTGGGATCATGACCTGAGCCGAAGGCAGACGCTTAATGACTGAGCCACCCAGGCGCCCTAGTGTTTCCTTTTTAGAAGACCATGGACAAATGAGAGCAGAGACCAGTGACCAGGAGTCAT